GGGCGGGTCAAGAAGGTCATGAATAAGGTAGCTCACATAATAAGGTGATAGGCATATGAGGTGATTATTAACTAGACCTACTTGAGCGTCTATCTTTTGCTTCGATATTTTCAGTGTAGAGGATGGAGAACGACTGGAGGAAGCAAACCTTTTCTGGGGGAGGGCCCCTAGTGCACGGCCCCCAGCGCACCCTTAGATATGCCACTGAACAGTGTGATTCATAACAATCGCTTGCTGTTGCATAAGAAAATAATGCGGAAATATACGGTGGGATATATGTTATGGGGAAAAATCAGAGTAAAATCATTGAAAGTATATTAACAGGTTGTTGTCACAGAATGTTGTGAGTATCTCTTCCACTTGAGACAAAATCAGACTGGATTTTTTTTTGTAAATTTTGTTACGTGATATATGATTTTTATAGGCATGTATACATTTTCGAGTCACTTAATGCGCAAGTCAAACCCTGACTATCAACACTAACGACCGTCGATGCGCACATCACTGCCGTATGAAACCGCACATTCTGAATTAGTCTGAAGCTAAGAAACATTACCTAGGCATATTCTGTCAAATTCATTTACTGATAATTACTCGCTAAAACACCCACTTCTTGGCGAATTCAGAGTTCTCTATACTTTAAAATGCCCTCCGAGTAAAGAGGGACTTTATTCATCTGCCTCTGACGTGTGGGAACTGTAGCATAAACAAGGAATTAAGCCGTTTACATTTAACCAATATTCGATTGTCAACCAATTTATTTAATGGATGATTGAACGAGTTGTTAATCTAAATCTATGTATGATTATAACAGTACTTCGATGTGATCGATGCTAACAATCACGTATTTAACTGTCAATTTATGCAAGCAAGTAAAATTTCATGATGTTTTTGTTGAATTCACAAAAGCATATGAGACAGGTGCAGTTATGGTTCGGTCTAACTCCTATTTTTGAGCCAACCTCTGATAAACCAAACCACTTCTCCACTGGCACCCAAAAAGGTAAAGATTGTAATGAAGTTAAACATTTACATGCTAGAATATTTCAGCCTCAGAGGGTTGTCCCTAACCTCCCGAACCAGCCTCCTTCTCTTCGTGTATTTCCTCATGATCGTCCAGACGCCTCTTGACTTCATGCTCTCATGGATCGCTCTTAAGAAGTCTTGGTTACGGGTTTTCAGGACATTTATTCCGCCTCAATTTCATACCAAACTCCATTTCCGGTGCTGTGTCCATCGAAACGCCGATGCAGCATTTCACCACCTTTCTTTTATCACTTCTGTTCTTCCTATCCTAAACCGGCGGACGCAATATATAATTGGAATTATACGTTCTACTACAGGTACTACTTAATCTCCATGAATACAATAATAACTCGATTGGAAAAGAAGATAACACGTTGATTATCTAATAGAATAACATAGTTTAATCTAGTCATCGATCACTGTGTTATTTTTAAGAACTCCTGTACAGACATCAATAGCCGTACTAAATATTTCATATAGAAATTATAAAATAGTTTTCTTAAACATTAGGAATTCTTAGTCGTGCTCATCCTTTCTCATTGCTCCTTTTAAATTGTAATCTGCACTCAGATTCAAATTTATTTTATTCATCATATAAAAGCAATATCAAATTATTTTCTGCTTGACTATATTTATCTAAGTATTTACAGAGTGTCTAGAAAATTAAATAGCCGTATTACATTTGGCAGAAAAGAGTCCCTATGTCTATTTGTTTTCACTTTGCTAATTCTTCCCCTATAGAGCCAAATTTGTCCTCTAACTCATTCATAACAAACTCACGTCTCGTTCCAACTCTAAACACGATGAACATAAATACTGCTGATATTCATTATTGAGATAAAATGAAAATAACATGTAATTACATAAATCACAAAACATTGATCAGTATATTAATCAAGCATTGCCATTACATGGTTCATTCATCTTAATTGAGCTTTTGTGGATTTTGCAATAATGATCACATCTGCGCTATAACTCTCAAAGTTTACCTGTAAGAACATATCATAGCTTCAGCTAAACATAGCACCTTCATGTGTTATTCTTACCAACACAAACAGTGTCGAGTCTATCTGCTCTTAGAGGAACTTTTCCTTCGAGACATTATATAATGGCGTAGACGACATGAATAGAATAGGGCGACGAAACATACACTTCTCATGGAGAAAATTAATCACAAATAGGTCAACATTAGAACATATTTCTAAAAGGAATCTTAGAGATCGATTCCTGGACACCCTCCTTCCGAAATCACGTGAGGACAACGTAAAACACTGTCTATTATGTACACCCTAATTTGATAACTCTTTGCTTTCAACTTATAATGTTATTATTACTGTTAGTTATTAACTGTACATCGATTTAATAATGTAAATGGAATGCCTAGACTAGATTATCCTGTTCTGCGCAACCAGAGGAAAATAATCAGGCTGCTTTTTACGAACTGACTTCACAGAGGACAAAGAACGAGAAGAGAAACAACGACGGATAACTTTAAGTATTGCATAAGACCAAACTACAGAGAAATATTGGTTATACTTATGACTCGATATATTTTTACTTGACCGGGGACGCTAAAGATAACATAGTGGTGTTTGGTCGACTGAACGCGGTACAAATCGATTCATTTTGTTTGTTTAAACGACGCGTTCACACGAGATGAAATCGGTGATCATCGGCGTACAGTTCAACATAACCTTACATGCGAACTCAGATAACCAACTCAGATGACCATCATTTAAAAATCGAGGAATATATAGGAGTCTAATGATAAAGGTTTTTAATGTATTTAATGGAGGGTATGATTTATATTCTATAAATATTTTATATATATATAACCCATACGTGAGGCTATACGGCATAATTTTGTGTTATAATATTAAGAACCTTAATCAATAATAAATCCAGAGGGATGCATTTTATAGTTCTTATAATAAATTCGATTCACAAAATATTAACAACTAGAAAAATATAAATGATGCATTATCCTTCTTATATAATATGTTATAGTTATTAATATATTATTAGTGATGAAGTAATTTTATGTTACTTCAAATGACAAATAGGTTTATATTATTGCTTAAATCTTGACGTGTACTTTTATTATTCATGTGACGTTACATCACAATTCGATGGGTATTATGTAAATGAAGCCTTAAGTATGTATACTTATTATATACATAAATCATCAAATATCGTGCCATAGTGTATTAAGTCTCAACTCACCTATGTGTATTTTGGTTGGAGCGTTGGTAAGAGCCCCACATATTCCGATGTATGGATGGAGAGGCAAGAACAAGATACATATCATAAAGAAGTCCATTCTCCTTGATATCTATAAAAAAAAAATTTCGATTTCCGAAAGAAACTTGATAAAAGTTTTAACACTAATTCAGCTGCATACAGTCTGTACAGTTCCAGAAAGTTGTACCATAATCTGTAAAAACAATCATCATTTGTAGAAAATTTCAGATTTAACTAGTTGTTAAAGAACTTGTACGTAACTTGTAATTATAGTCACAGTCGCGTTGCAACTTGCGTTCCTTACCAACACATGCAGACAAAAGCATGGAGCAATCAGCACGAGAGATCTGATTTGAATGAACACAGAGGAAAAAATAAACCGAACAAATATTTCTATCGCACCAGTCGTTGGGATCACGTGCTGTATTTAATAATGCATGCCTAATGAGTGTTAATGGGAAAACTGTTTAGCGCCCTCAATATCTAGTCTATCCGCACAAACACTCCGTGATGAGAAATGAGATAATTGTATGTGATTAGTAACACGGTAGCCACTGTCTACAAAGATACTAGAAATACAAGATAGAGCACTCTATTTTGTGTTTCTAGTATCTTTGCTATCTATCACTAGATTACATTGAATAAAATGATGTGTTTTATGAATGCAGACATTCAAAAAAGTGTAAAGTTTTGTACTTACTTCATATGTTAACTAAGCTACTTTTCGATTGTTATAGTGTATTATAAATGATTGAGGAAAGTCGGGCACACATTGTACCCGACATTCGCCGAGCAACGGATTGGTTTAGTGACGATTCGCGACTGCTCAGCAGACTGTCACGGCAATCAGTAGACGGCTTCGCGTCGTCAAGCGGTCACAGTTAATGAAATGGATTCGCGACCGACGATCGTAATATGTCCCCGGAACTGCAGTATAATTAATGTCTAACATCAAGTACAGCAATTATAAAATGCTTTTACCGTATGCATACATTGGCTATTCTGCAGGTTGAGATTTGTTATTCAATTGTTAAACGTTTTGTGCAGCAATCATGATCGTGCGTTTCGAATGGTTTAGTTGGATCGAACTCGATCTTGATTTTTTTTTAACCTATGCCCTGCAGTATTGAACAGGACGTTCGTTTTCACAAATGTTCAAGCAACGTTAGACAACTGAGACTTCCAAAACCAAGTTTCACTAACGAGTTCAAGTGTGGTGTTTGGTGAGGGGTGTGGGGTAGTTTGTTTGTATGTGTGATTACCTAAATGTAAAGAATACATTTCAATTTTTATTAATATACCGGTATATCTAGAATTTAAGATCATCTAATTTTCAACTGAAATATACGCATTTATAATAATAATAATAAAGATTTATAAAGCGCTCATCTCCACCAAATGTGCTCAAGGCGCATAGACAATTAAACCAACAAGATCCAAATAATTCCCAGAAGAATTTTCAGCAAAATCCAAATACCAATTTACCTTTTATTTGATTCCGTTTAAATTAAACGAAAATACTAAATTAAAGATGTACTATCAATCAAAAAGACAGGAAAATACCTCAAAAATTGAAACAAAAAGTTTTTAATAACTCAGTTGTAGGGATCAAATAAATTATTAGCTTTGGTTGGTAATTAATTTTGGATTTTTGCAGTGAAATGTCTGTAAATCGATGAAAACTACTTTTTTTCGATCCGTTTCTCGTATTATTATAAGGATCAATGCAAAAGAATACAGGAAATTTTTATACTGTCCGAAAATTGACGGGGATTTTTTTTATTCACAATTTTAATTTTTAGTTAATAACTTAACAAGGTAGGCCTACACAAATTAAGCACTTCAAATGTGGAAATAAAAATCTTAAATATATATCACTTTCTTAAATCTACAATTCCTTTTACTATTATCATGGAATATTGATATACAGAAATATAACAGGTTGAAAATTTCCTATGTAAATCAAGTCAACCTTCTCGATTCGCGTGCTAGGTTTATTTCGTGAATTTGGTTTATTGTACACTCGGGGGAACAGCGGCTTAACTTCTTCCAAACTCAACGACCTATTTCAGACATAGTAAATATTACAAATTCTACGAATTAATTTAAATTCCATTTACAACATTATGCATCGAACAATAACCAGATCTGCATAAGATGGAAACTAGCCGTATACTGATTATATAAGTATACATTTACATTTATGTGCTTCTCAAGCAGATAGATCGTTCAACGAGTTCACATCATAAAAATTTGGTAGATAATTTTGGTTATCGATGGACTGTACGTTGACTGATAGCCAGGGCCGTTTTTATCTATTTATTTATTTATTTATTTTTATTTCATTTCATTTAACAGCGTAAACGTCAATATTAGGATAAATTACACAAAAATAAGACGCTCAGGTCACAATGCCCCGGCCTCAACGATCATTTCCCGTCGTGTGAATCGGGTTCTACTGCAATTGACAGTCAGCTGACGTTATTACGTCGGGCAAGCGTTCACAGGGAACGCGCACCGTCACGGAGAATTTGTCGGCCTACAGTAGACTAGGCTACGACTAACTTAGACTTTTGTAATTGTCTTGCTCATTTAACCAAATAAGCTACCCCACCCCGAAACCAGCATGAGAAGGAAAAATAAACATATATTGGGCCTACTGCGAAAGGAGAATTCGGAAGGCAAATACCGTTTTGATTTTGAATTTGAAAAAGAATGTGGGACATTACTGTGTGATTTATACTGATGTTCATGCCTCCGTCTTGACGCTTCTGCGTTGAACAATTAAAAGAGTAAGTGAGAGAAGCACGTTAGCAATCCCTCATAAAAGCTGAAGGCGTTGCTTCAGATTAAACGTAATCCGGCATTCATCTAACGACATAGATCTCTACGTAAGCCGTTCCGGCAATGTAAATCATAACGATGTAGTTCATCTGAATGATGGCTCAAAATATACATTCAATCTTAACAGAAGATCCTTTTCACTATCGCCCAGAAGCAACTGGATCCCTTAAGACTCCCTTCTCGATATTTCTGTGGAGCCACACGCCTGGCAGTAATCATTTCGACAGATATGACACTATCAACGCAACAAGAAGTGATGACACTTACAAAACTCATCAAAATAATAACAATAAAACGAAGCTCACAGCGCAAATGGATAGGAATAAGTATACAAATAAAGGTTTTATGTAAACATACCGAGTTAAACAGTTAACTATAGAAATGACCATTGTAATAATAGTCTAAGTTGAAATCGTATACAACAGAAAAAAAATATCGGGCTTATGGTTTAAAATTACGACACGGCTCGAGTCGACAATTTGAAGTGAAAAAAACAACTTATTATTTTAAAGTATTAATGGTAAATATAATCTAGAATAAGGCCTGCGTTAATAAAAATTATTTGAAATAGTCTAAATCAGTGGGGTAATAATAATAATAAGTTAATAACAGCAATGCAAACTAACATTAATAATGATGATAATAATAATAATAATAATAATAATAATAATAATAATAATAATAATAATAATGGTACTAGTAATGGTAATGGTAACGATAATGATAATGACAATTATTATCATTATTCTACTAAAAGTACACTGAAAACATAATTGGTATATGCCGCTCAATGTTTAAAATTAGACACAACTGAATAGCCTATGCACATTGGACAAAATACATTAACACCTATTGTATATCATAAAGAACTGCAGAGGGTATACTAATGTTAAACTTATGTAATACTGTAATTACATATTTAGGTAGAAAATTAGAATCCAATGAATAGGTTTTATGTACACGAACAGACGTGTTCTCCAAATATCCTTAGAAAAACACGGATTTTTTTTTGGAAATAACTAACTTGGACGTAAAAAAACACCACACCAAACAAAAGATTTAATTAAAACTAAAAATATATGGTGTTCTTTTTTTTTTTAATAAGCTTAACTACGTTTTAGTTCAATTATCAAGAATTTCAGTTTATAGAAATTTACCTATTTCTTTTTGCTATGGAAATTTTAGGAAACGTCTACATAGTGTACAGGCCGACGGTCGTACTGGCTTCGTATGCAAACTACAAACACTGGATATGTATATCATATGCGCTCTCAGATGAATAAACTCTCTAAAATGGTGTACAACGGTTAACGGTAAGTCAATGGCAATGTGATTTAATGTACACTACAGTGATACATGAAACATAATAACAACGTTTTGCAAAGACGGTAAGTTTATATCAATATGCCATATAGGACACAAAACACGATTGAAAACTGTAAATAGGAACTCTCAAATACACTTTTGTATTTAGTGCATTATTCCGCATCCACTACCATAATGTTAATTTGTATTATGGCCTAATGTTGCTATTCTTACAAACGCCCTTTGTACTTATATTAAAACCGGTTATTCTGCCTTACCTACAATTTTCTTCGGTTGATTTTTTCATAATAGATTTTTAAAAATGATATTACAAAATGAATACATTTTACTTTTCTTTTTACTTTATTCATTTCCAGGCAAAATCAGTACAAAATGTAGGGACTAATAAAAATTCAGAAGACAACAAAAGCCTGAGGATTACCTAAAAATGAATTTAATCACTATTTAAATGGTTCTTCTCCAGTGAACATTAAAGGAGCGCGAACTATAGATTACAAACACAAACATAGAAGGTGATTAAAATTCAATGGGAAAAAACATATTTAGAAAAATAGAGTTTCATATACATTTACAATACAAATGTGCAAATTTAAAAATTTAATTCTTAATAATTAAAAAATTTACTATGTAAAATACAATTTCAATTTAATTCAAGGATATTGACATTTAAAAAAATGGAAAATTGAATGGATAAATGGAAGTCAAAACTTGCAACAAAAAAAATCAATTCTATATATGAAAAAATCAATAAAAATATAATTATAAACATACTTAAAAACAAGAAAAAAATTTAAAAAAATTTCAATAAATGATAACAATAATACAAATATAAGTAAATATAGGCCTATTCGGGAAACATAGCTTAATTTTGACATGCAAAGAGAGTGCACAAAATAATAGTTGTCTATTTATAGGGCACATTTGTGTCGCTCCAGGAAAATGCTTGCAGCGATAGCTATGGAAGGAGACGAAATTAAAATGATTATAACGAAATTCAAGAAACACAAACCGTTGTTAAGACATTAAACTTGCACATTCTTAATTTTATTTGCTTGAGGATATAATTAGGCCAGTTCGTAAACAAAAAGGTACGGTACATAAAATAAATAGGCCGTAGCTTAGTAGGCATAATATTTTCTGGGGTTGTCAACATAATATGTTAAAATCATAGTGATTCTATA